ACTCCAGAGGCTTCAGGGGAATGCTGTGCTCCATAGTCACCTCATGCTAAGGATAGGTTATGTCTGTTCTGTGAGTAGTTGCCTTATTTGGGATTCGGGAGATGCTCTTCTATTGCATATCTAGCCTATTATTTCCACCTAGACTGGATTTCAGCCCCATGCTTCATATCTGCCACTAACAAAGTCAGATAAGATGTGTTTAAAAGGTCATAAGACAGAGAGATTGGTGTGTGTGTGTGTGTGTGTGTGTGTGTGTGTGTGTGTGTAATTCTAGCACTCAGGAGGTGGAGGCAGGAACATCAACAGTCCAAGGTCATCCTCAGCTACATAGAGAGCTCAAGGCTAGCCTGGGCTACATAAGACCCTGTCTCAAAAAAGGAAAGAAAAACAAGAAAAATATCACACAGAGGAACAAACAGGACAGCTTGTGCCTGCTTCTTGTTTACACTGCTCAATTCACCTCCTACATAGCCACTAAAATGAAACCAGTGGGGCTTGCTGGGCCCAGGCCGAACCATTCCCAGGGGAAATCACATCTTGTGTCCTTGGTGTCTGCGTGACTCTGGGTCAAGCACTGAAAAGTTGAAGACAGAGTCAGTCTCTCTGAGTCTGCAGGTGGGGAAGGGTCCATTCTCTACTTCTGGGGAAAAGAGACTCTGAAACCTATGTATTCTCACCTTTAGACCCTCACTCAAATTCCTAGCAGAGGGGCAGAGCCTTCTCCCAGCGGGGGCAGACCAACTAGACCCCCATCGGAAGAAAAAGCTAAGGCTGTCTGGGGCAAATTACTGAACCTTTTTGCCCTAAGGGAGGACAATGGTACCTGTGCCATGTGAGGATTAGCTGGCAGGGGTGTCCCCAAGCAATTAACCCAATGCCTGGCCTTCAGCAGAGAGCAGCTACTATCAGAACCAGGGTTGCCAAGGTCACCCGTTCTTTCCAACACCAGAAGTGGGGCTGGGGTGGGGCTTCACTGATGGAGCAGTGCCTCAGACGATAGTGTGAGACTGGCAGGCAACTTACACCTATCCTCAGTACCAGGGGGACTGCCCCAGCTGCACCAAGACACTTCATCCAAGGTCACCCTACTCCCAGGGAAGCCCACATCCAGTGGCTGACCCCTGTGTGTAAAAGCCAGGTCAGGATGATGTTGGACTTTGCTACCTCCCTGTGGGGTCAGATGTGGACCCCAAGAGCACCACTCTGCAAAATAAAGTCTCAGATTAGCTTCCAAGAAAGCCAGGCTGAGATGAGCGTTTTATTTGGGCCCCTTTCCTTACCAAGGGAGGAGAGGACCAGAGTGGGGAGGAAAAGTCAGGGCCTAGCTAAACAAGGCTTTGTCACCCTGACTCTCCAGCTCCTCTCTGTGGCATGAGCAGCTCCATGAGAACAGGAGCTGCAGTGAAAGACCAGTATCTCCCCGGAGCATTGAGCACCGTGGAATCTGGGAGCCCAAAAGCATCTCTGACATAGCCTTAACAGCTTCTTTCACCATGTGAAATGAAGTAAATCAGGCAGAGAAACAGGAATACCACCTACGTCATTCAGCCCTAAGAGTTTAAGGGTTGATCTCAAAGAAGCAGAGACTAGACCAGTGGTTACCAGAGCAGAGCAGGGACTGGGTAGGGTGCAGAGAGGATAGGCTAGGGCTGGACAGGAGGTGTGACAATGCCAGGTGCCCTACCTGCTTCCTGTACTCTGTACTGAAATGGTATGCTCATTACATCATAAATATACACAATCATTGGGTGTCAGATCGAAACCAAAAATGGTCACTACATTTTTCCTTATGGACAAGAAAGAGCCACAGGAGAGTCCTAGAGAACACAGATGCACAGTGGGATGAGTGGGGGGGAAATGTAGCCTTTCTAGACACATAAAGAAGCCAGTGCAGGAGCTGGCATCTATAGTCCAGCACTCAGGAAGCTGTGAATGGAAGGTCATTGAGAGCTACAGGCTAAGCTATAGAGTGAGACCTTATCTCTAGATAGATAGATAGATAGATAGATAGATAGATAGATAGATAGATAGATAGATGATAGCAAAGAAAAAAAAAAAAGACACACACATATACACAACAAAATCCATGCAAAGTTCCAGAAGTAACCCTTAGTGCTGAGCTAACAAATAACCAAAATCCAGGGCCAGCAAGATAGCTCAAAAGGCAAAGGCATTGATGCCAATCCTGCCCCCAGGATCCACATGGTAGAATGAGAGAACTGATTCCTTCAAGTTTTCTTCTGTACCCACCCACGCCTCCCCCATTAATAAAAATTTAAAAACCATTAAATGACCAGAGACCAGGCATCTTCAGAATCCAACAGCATTCACCGGCCATGGAGGGAAAGGAGTCAGAAGCTAACTGCAGACCTTCAGTCTGGCTGAAGGCCTGCCTAGGCTAACAACCCAAGCATCACTCTTCTCTGCTTCTGACTAGAGTTCTACTGACTGACAGTGGGAGAACACCTCAGCTCCCCTTGTGCTGTGCCATTCTACCTGGAGGTAAATCTTGCAAGCGCTATGGGACCTAGGGAAGGGGATAGGCCTAGTCAACAGGTTTTATAGGCAAGAAGGTGCTGCCTAGGAAAGCACAAGGTCTGTTAAACCGTGCCTGCTGAGTCTTAAAGGAAGGAATTCTTGTGTCACATGACCAGTCAGAGGAGACAGACAAGACACTCCGCCATGAAAGCAGCCACAGAGCAGACTCTCCCCCAGCATGAGCACCACAAACTCAGCCCTTTCCTTGCAAGGGCACACAGTGGTCCTGTCATCCCTTGTTCCCTTCAAGCTTCTGCCTAAATGCCATCTCAGCTGAGATCTCACTTTATGACCCAATTCAAAAACAAGAAATGGGACCCACAGGACAAGGCTTACCCCTAATTCTCTATTTAGGACTATTTCTAATGTTTCTCTCCCTAGTACTTGGTCACTTCCTGCTGCTTGTACTGTGCTGGCTGTACCCACTGTGTATTCCCAGGGCCAAGCCCAGGGCACAGCCCACACAAGGTGGAAGCTGAATGAATAAACAGTATGGGCCAATAGCACTGCTTTAAGGATGAACATAAACTGGCTGCCCTGAATAAACGTTTTGTTCCACAAGCTTTGAGTTAAAAACTAAGTAAGAGCTGGGAATGGTAGCACCCACCTTTAATCCCAGCACTCAGGAAGGCAGAGGCAGGTGGATCTTTTTGAGTTCAAGGTTAGCCTGCCTGGTCTACAAAGTAAGTCCAGGACAGCCAAGGCTACACAGAAAAACCCTGTCTCAAAACACCAAATAATAGATAAATAAATAAGTTTAAATTAAAAGATCCACTGCATCTCCAGCTAAATATTATTTTTCAAGGCCATGCTTTGCAAACAAGATTGCATAGTTCACAGCAGGATGGTACTTTGTGCTTTAAAAAATAAACCAGGAGCTGGAGAGGTAGCTCAGCAGTTGAGAGCACCTGTTGCTCTTGCAGAGGCCATTTCCTATCATATACATTGGGGCATATAAGCATCTGTAACTTCAGACCCAGGCAACCTGATGCCCTCTTCTGACTTCTGCTAGCATCAGACACACACGTGGTGCACATACATACACAAAGAAAACCACTCATATACATAGGATAACAAAATAAGTCCAAGAAGAAACCAGTTCACAGCAGTTATGACTCTTTAATTGCTGAGTGTCATGAGCACTAGTTCCCAGCGCTGCTCACCATGAGCAAACACCAGTGCTGCTATAGACTGCATATATGCCCATACCCAGCTCCTTGGACTCCTGACCCTCTTGTAGCCTCAGGACAAACTTGGTTATTTAGAGAATGGGAGAAAGCCAACATCTTTCCCTCAAAAGGCCTTCCCTCCCCCAGTCCTCCTCTATTGATGAAGATACTTGGTAGGCCTTTGGAGAAATCATGAACCCATTATTCAGAGACCAAAAATGGAGATAAAAAAAATTAAAAACATGAAAAAGCCATAGATCTTAAGCACAGGCTTTCTTTCCAAGCCACTCCCCCATAAGATGGGCAATTGTTTTCATCAGAGGAATACAGCTATTTTCTTGTTGTTTCCAATCCCATGCAGAGAAAAAAAAATTGAAGCCAGCAGTCTGTAAAGAGTTTGTGATTTTCTAGAAGAGAGAACAAAATTCTGCAAGTTTGAGTATAAACTTCAAAAAGCAATCTTCATCTTATTTCAGGCCACACCCGTGGGTATCACCTGCTTGCCAGGTACCCGTGGGTACCTGGGCATGGGCCGAGTCAAGAGGCACCCTACCTAGTGCTCTAGTGATCTGTAGAATCTTCTTCTTGGGTCCTACCCTGATTTCCTGCTGCAGCAGATCCAAGGGGGGCTACAGATTTCCATTCGTTACCAGCGTCTAGGCAAAGAGAAGATGCTGGTCCAGGTCTACCTGCGGAACCACCACACTGAACAGCAGACAAGTCCAGCAGCCACACATTCCACACACTTACACACATGGTGACCGAGAGTACAATGACCACATATCTGGCCCTGGGGAAAACGCTCCAGGTCAAGTCCAGCTCAAGTCAATCACAGCAAGAGGCCTGAAATGGTACCTCGAACCCTTGAAACCCAAAGTCACATCATTTCCCTCTTTTTTCATTTTGGTTTCTCAAGACAGGATTTCTCTGTGTAGCCCCAGCTGTCCTGGAGTTTGATTTGTAGACTAGGCTGGCCTCCAACTCCCAGAGCCTCCTGCCTCCGCCTCCCAAGTGCTGGGATTAAAGTCTCCACCGCCACCTGGCTTCAGTTCCCTTTTTTGAGAGCAGTTGTGAGCAATCCCACCCTGCTCCACCCTGCTTCACCCTGCACACATGGGTAACTCCCATCTATGAGGGCTACTTCTGCCCACAACTGCTTTCAAGTTTCTACGCTCGCAGAAGCGGTTGAAAGAGGAAGGAAAAAATAATAGCAGGCTACTTCAAGATCAGCCATAACATTCTGGTGGAGGCACCATCACCTCACCATGGGCAACTCCAAAGCATCTCACTTACCGAAGTAGTCTGCTTTGGGGTGAGCATCCATCTCTCTCTCCAGACGCTGGGTGAGGGCTTCTAATTTCAATTCGGCAGAGGAGGGTCCAAGCTCAGGGGCTGGTGCCGGGGTCTGGCAGGGCAACCTCACCCTGGAGGGGGTGGGGCTCTCTGGGAGCACAGGTCCCAGGCTACTGTCAGTGGGCCAGCTGGGAGGACTCTCTTTACAAGACAACTCAGACGGAGTGGTCATCACGGGATGGACAAGGCTGGTGGGGCTGGGCTTGGGACCGGAGCCAGACTCCACGCATCCAGGCTTAGGACCTAGCCCAGGGGTCAGACCTGGCTGGACACTGTCGTCCTTGCCAGTTGTTGAGGATAACGGAGCAGAAGCAGAGAGGTAAGACTTGGGTCCATCCCGGAGCCAAGGCTGAGCATCCACAGTGGGTTTGAAGACCCTGTCTGAAGCCTCACATCCCAGACCGGAATCCTTTCTCAGACAACCCCCTTGGCTGGTGCTGCTAGGGACCAGGGGTGCCGAAACCGTGGGGCTCCTGGGTTGAGCTGGGGCCCCATTCTCCAAGCTCAGGGAAGAAAAGCCGAGGTTCACGCGCTGAGAGGAGGCTGTGGACCAAAGGCCTGTTGGCTTCTCATTGCTGTGGCCACCAATGCCACCATCCTGGCCACTAATGCCACTTTCAAAAGACTTGCCAGAGCACATGGGGAGCTGTGGCTGGTAAGGCTGACTGTCCCCACTCAAGGACCTGGGCAATGTGGAATCATTCCCTGGGCAAGCAGGCCACCCACTCCCTACACTCAGACCCATGCTGGGGGGCACTTCTGGTTTATCGCCCCACTGTGGGCTTGCCAAAGAGAAATTGTCATAATAGTCCCCATGAGTGAGGCAGGAAGGGTCTTCACAGGGACCCAGACCGCGGAAAGCAGGCCTCTGGGAACTCACAGGCCCCTCCCTGGAACCACAATTCTGACTGCCAGGCCTTGTACCGTGGGCAGATGGCCTGGTCCTCTGCTCTTGAGAAGGGTATGAGGGCTGCACAGCCACTGTGGTGGTAGCGAATCCAGGTGCCACTGTTGGCGCGGCTAGAGGGGGCTTGGCAGCACCATCTGCAGCCAGCTTGCTGCTCACACCCTGACGGCTCCCACCGTTGACAGGGCTTCTGCCTGCCCTAGGTAGGGCTTCCTCCTGTAGGAGCTGCTGCTGCTGGAGGTGGATTTTGGCCATCTTGGTCGCGAATACCCTTCGAGTTTCCTCAAATTCAGGGTTGTTGCCAGCACCCTTGTCCACCCGGAAGAGCCCATCCTTGGAGGCCTCATACATGTTCAGGTCCTCGATGAACTTACTGGCCTCAAGGCCCAGGTCATCATATTTATCCATGTTGCAGATCAGTGTCCGGGGCCTAGCCCTGGTACAAGACGTGAATGGGGTGGGGAGATCTGTGTGCTGGCCGCGGCTCAGGTCCAGCCCGAGGCAGATAACGACTCCCACCTGCCCAGCGAGAAGGTCATGACTCCAAAACTTACAGTCCGGCCAAAGTTGAGGCCTTCAGGCCAGCGGGGCTAAGTTTACTTCCAGACTTCTTTTCCCCTGAGGAGCGTCCACGTGGGGGCAGAGTAGCCTTCGGCCGTGCCCGACCTGCTCAGAAAAGTTCTCTTCTCCAAGCCAGAAAACCAAAAACAGACCAAAGAAGACAGAGAACGGAAACAGAAACAGCAAACTCACATCCACGTCGGGCAACCCGACCTGCCGGGCATCAGGCTGGCCTGGGGCCGGCAGCCGGCTCCAGCAGAGCTCACCGCGGCGCGCGGCCCATTGTCCGATGGCGGCGGCCGGCGGCGGGACGCGGAAGTGAGCGCGCGACTCGTCCGGCCGGAGCTGGCTGGCCGCTGCGCCCGCCCCGGGTGCGCGGGGGAGCGGGCGGAGGCGTGGAGGGCGGGACGGGCGGGCGCCCCCTGCAGGCCGAGACGCGCACGCCGCGCCGCGGCGGCCCTCGCCCGACCCCCGACTGTGCGGAGCTTCCCGCCGCCTCCTGAGAGCCGAGGACGCGCCGGGTTTCCCGCGGGTCCCCTCACGCGACTCCGGCAAACCTAGGATGTTGCCGTGGCCGGTTCTCTTTAACAGAGACGATGGGGCAAGAAAGGACAAGCGCCCCAGAGGTCCACATAACCAGCAAAGCATCGGAGGCCCTTCCAGAGCCTCTGAAAGAAAGAGAAGGGAGCCGGGGTCATTAAAGTGGTGTTGGACCTCCTACATGTGCCCAGAGAGGCTTGTCGTCCCGTAGGGGTCTCTTGAAACCCAAGCTGGTCCTTACCACTCCAAGGTGCCGTGGACACCCTACACAGCTCCCAGATGACCTGTGATAGTTTACTTTCCCACGCGGCCATCAGAGTGATCTCAAACAAACCCTAGGCTTGTCAGTCGTAAACTTCAACCCTCAGGGCTTATTCACGACTTAGTTTGAAAACGTGCCTTCACTTGCTGCACTCAGGCTTGGCCGCCCCGTCTACCCTCCCGATTTAGGGTCTTTGGCCGAGGGAACCTTCTAGTGCCTGCCTGGAGACTGCTGATGAACTTCTGGTGGCTCTCCTTTCCTTCCCAGCTAAAATCACCTCCCCTTGAAGTAACCACCACCCCACAAACCCCTTCATTTCCTGCTGACGCTGAAGCCACTAACCTGCAAGCTACCTAATAAGATGTAAATAGTATGCAAATAGCTGTTAGCTTGCCTCCCCCCTTTCAGGAATCATGACAAGAAAATAAAATCAGTACGTGTTCAGCACAAAAACTTTTTTTTTCTGAGTATTTTTCACTCTTGTTGGTCAGATGCGGAGCCCTGGATGTGGAGGGCTAACTTCAGCCGTTCCTCTGCATGTCCTTTTTGGTTGCCAGCTGTTAGTTATCCACTTCCTTACACAATATGCTCAGGATTTGGTTGGTGGATCTCTACAGGACTGTGACAAGGAACAAGTAAGATAGTATTTTCGGAAGGGTTTATATTCTAAAAACACAAAGAATGGTTCACTGACCTGTAGACTCTGAATGTCCAGGATATTTGCTAAAGAAAGAAGAGTCCTAGGCTCTAGCCCCAACCTACTGACCCCAAATCTGCATTTTAACAGCATTCCTGGGTGGGAAGACTATTTACACAATAAAATTTGATGAGTGAGTATAAAGCAGTATCCTAGAATTAGGTTTTAAAGATTTATTTATTTTTTTTAATTATGTGTATATATGTGTTTGTGAGTGCAATGTCTTTGGAGGCTAGAGAGAGAATCTGATAGCCCAGAACTGGAATTGCAGGTGACACCCACGTAAGCACTGGGAACTGAACTCCAATCCTGTATAAGAACAGTGTGGTTCTTAACTGCTGAGCCACTCTCCAGCCCAGAAGTAAGTATTTTTATTTTAAAAGAATATTCTGTTCCTGGGGCTACAACCCAGCGGTAGAAGAGTTGCTGGGCGTACATGAGGGCCTGCATTCCATCCCCCAAACGACAGTAATAACAACAGCTTGAGTGATCCTCAGAAGTGCTGGAGAGACAGGTCAGTAGTTAAGAGCCCTAGCTGCTATTTCAGAGGACCGAGGTTGAGTCCCAACACCTACATGGTGCTCACAACCGTCTCCAACACCGTCTCTGGTCTCTCTAGACATGATGTGCATGTGATGCACAGACACACACGTGAACAAAACAGCCACACACAATGTTCAAAATGGTCAGGAGGCTGAGACTGCTTTAGTGCTGCTGTTCAGGACTGAAGAGACCAAGATAATTCTGATTCTGTGTACAACATTTAGAATCCCAGTCACAATTATTTAATGGAGGCCACGTTTGTCTGATTCACGCACTTGGAAACTTCTGTTGACTAATATTTCAAGGATGTATTCAGGGCTAGTGAGATGGGTCAGTAGCTAAAGGCACTTGTTGACCTGATGACTAGAGTTTTATTTCCAAAAACTCTATGGTAGCTCCAACTCCTACAGCACACACATACATTAAATGAAGGGATAAATTGATGGAAGAATAAATGAGTGGATTTTTTTTTTTCGAGACAGGGTTTCTCTGTGTAGCCTTGGCTGTCCTGGACTTGCTTTGTAGACCAGGCTGGCCTCCAACTCACAGAGACCTGCCTGCCTCTGCCTCTGCCTCTGCCTTCCCAAGTTCTGGGATTACAGGTGTGTGCCACAACACCTGGCTGGGTAGATATTTTTTAAAGATGTATTCATTCTTGCCTATCAGTTGTTTAAAAAGCAAAATACTGTTCGATCTGGTGGTGTGATCCCAGTTACTCAAGAGAGTAAGGCAGGAGAGTCATACATCCAAGGCCTACTTGGGCTAAAAAGTAAATTGAAAGCTAGCACAGACAGTTTAGTAAGACCCTGTCTCAAAATTAAAAATAAAAAGAGGGCTGGAGATTTATCTCAGTGGGAGACTATTTGCCTAGCACATCAAGGCCCAGAGTTTGAACATCAGCACCCCAAAAATTAGAGACTGAAAACATGTTGGAGATAGTACGGTCTGTTTCAAAGCTGACAGGAATGATCCAATGAATAGAAGCATCAAGAGAAAGCAAGAGGATCATATGGCATGACATCCCGAAGAGACAGGGGCCTGAGCTCCCACGCACTGTCATGCGTGGTAATAGAGAGGAAGGATTTTGAGCAAGCAATGGGCTAGTAAACACTAGCCAGTGTTTAGGCTAGTGATTTTTGAGACCTTATGAACAGAATGGAAGCCATTCTAATGGCTGAGATTTTTTCAGTGAAATAGGAAGTGCCTTTTGGAAACTGGCCATCTTGTGGGGTGAGAGTGTAAGTGACCCAGAAGACAGGAAGGTCCTCTGAGCTGCCCAGCCCCACCTGGAGTCACCAAAGTGGGTTCACCATGATAGCCTGTGTATCTCTAGTTCACATTCATTTGAGCACATGGAGGGACTGGAGAGAGGGAGAGTTGTGTCTAACCAGGACCCATTTGGCCAGCTAGGAACAATATACCAAGAGTAGGCATTTTCTTCCAAGATACAAAATGCCCAGGTCCCATTCAAGCCCTTCCCAACACCCCTGTCCATCACAGTTCTCCCTGACACACAGGGAACATTTTCTGTGTTGGTTGTTTTTATCAGCCTCCTCACTAAATGTCAAATCATTTTCTTTGATGGTTTCCTTCACTGTTGTTCCCCCAGGAACTCAAAATAGTACCTGATATGTGACAGTGACACCACCACCAAAAAAAAAAAAAGGTGAAAAAATTGGTACTCACAGTAGAAAATGGATCTACAGGTGTTGCCACCTACAGGTAGAAAACTTAATCGGTGACTCAAACTTGTAGAAATACAAACTAAAAGCCATATTATTATCCCTGTTTCTCCGCAATCCTGTAACTCTTAACTGACTATCTTGTAACCAAATATTTGATCCAAAGTATAGTTCATGCATGTTAATGATGCATAGTCAGGAAGATGACTTCAGCCAGATGCGGGGGTCTATGCCCGTAATTCTAGAATGTGGGAGGAGCAAGAAGATCAAGGCTTAATGGTCATCCCCTACTGCATAAGAGTGTCTGAATCCTACCTGGGCTCCATGAAACTCTGTCCTACAAAACAAAAGTAAGAGCAAAGAAGAAAGGATGAAAAATAGTGTGATTCTATACAGGTATGTGTGTACATTTAAATGTAAAATATATTTAAGAATCTGTTTCCAAACTGAGATTGAAATTACAAATGTATGTAATTTCAGAAAGCTGGGAAGAACCATCTGCAAGAGTCTGAGGCTAGGGGTTAGGGATTTAGCTCAGTGGTAGAGCGCTTGCCTAGCAAGCGCAAGGCCCTGGGTTCGGTCCTCAGCTCTGGAAAAAAAAAAAAAAAAAAAGAGTCTGAGGCTAAGCTGAGCTGGACAGTGAGTTCCAGTCAGTCTGGGCTAGAGGAAGACCCTGTCTCCAAAGTATAGAGAGGATCAGCATGTAGTTCAGTGGAAGAGTGGTTTCCTGGCATGTGTGACTCTTGGTTTGAGTCCTGCACAGAAAAAACAACAAAGAACAACAACAACAACAAAACACACCTGCTTACATACAGACATATGATTTAGGGTTATCTGAAAACTCAAGTCCAGGGACTGGAGAGATGGCTCAGTGGTTAAGAGCACTGGCTGCTCTTCCAGAGGACCTGGGTTCAATTCCCAGCACCCACATGGCAGCTCACAACTGTCTGAATCTCCAATATCTGACACCCTCACACAAACATACGTGTAGGTAAAACACCAATGCATAGAAAATAAGTTTAAAAAAAAAAACAAAAACTCAAGTCCAGTAGTCTCTGTGTTCACAGAGCTACCAGACCCATGAGGCAAAGATCCTCTGGCTTGAATAGAGTCCTGCTTACTTTGCAGGGAACTGAAAAGGCCTTTCTGTGGCTTTTTCTTGGCTATAGGAAATGTCCCTGTGCACAATGCTATGTGTGTCCCAAAGTATGTTCCACTGCAAGGACAGCTCTGAATAGAATCTTTATATTTCAGCCAAGGAGATGGATAAAGAATTAGCCACTAAGGTTCCTTTGAGCTCTTTCCATTCCACTGATGCCCAGAGCAGGCCAGGAAGTGAAGTGCTGGCTGCTCCAAACCTGCTTCTTGAACCTCAGGCCTCTCTGGCCCCAAGCCTCCCTGAGGAACAATCCCATGAATGGCGAGAAGCAGCTGCCTTGAAGGCCCTTTCCTGCTGCCTGTAATGAACTTCGTTTCATCATTTTCTGCCCTGGAATGCTGCCAGGTTAGATGCGTTATTTAGGACTGTGACCTTGCTCTCTGTGTGTGGCCTATGCCAGGCCAGAAAATCTCCACT